TGTATGATGTTTCAACTGCACTTGATCATCCAACTGCATAGCTCGATCATGGGTGGTTCGATTCAACAGCTCCCCTGAATTTTTGTTGACATGAATGTGGCACAACAGGGACATTGCTTCGTTCCTAAGAGCTGTGGCTGCTTTCTTTGATCTACCTTTGGCAGATGGATTCTGCTTTCTCCTAGCCAGCTCATCGTCTTCATCCCAGAGGGCAAACTTTGAGGATCGAAGAAGTTCTTCGAGTGCTCCGTTTCCCTTGGATAACTCGTCTTTGGTCAGAGCGTCAGCTATCATTCTAGGATGCGGGCTCCATCTGATGCAAGATTTTGCCTTTGATAGGGCTTCGATGATGATGGCTATCTCAATCGAGGTGCGGCGATCTTGGCGAGATGCCGGAGATTGCTTTCTCAGGCTGTCGTACAGGCTCTTTGCATCGGTCACTGAGCATTGGTCCAACCTGTCTCGTAGCTCGCAATTCTCCTTGAGAACCGCCAAGAAGGGGAGCAGGGATTCCTGCCAGTTGTTCCTGGAAACGTCACCAAAAACCACGTCTCGATGCATGATCTGAAGCCATTCTAGTTCTCCTAAGGCTTGAGAGAATGAGAGAGCTTCTCCACCAAGAGTTGAGGCGACTCGACGTCGCAACTTTGCAGAGCGCCATGACAGCACCGAGGCCTTCACCTTGTGAGAAGCGGTCGGCATTGATCCCGTGGCTAAAATGATCCAAGCTCCTTGGACGGTGTCCTCGTTCTCCAATGGCTTGCCATCAATGCCTCACACATCGGAGGCGGCAACGAGGATCATCTTGCTGCTGTCAAACTTGTGAAGGGTAAGGCACTGCCTGGCGGTGGCTCTCAAATAGGTCGCTGCCTTGTTGAGACAGCACATGTCGTGTATGGTTGCCTGATGGAGTCTTGACGCTAGGATGCTCACGATGCCGGACATTTCTAGAGCTCGAAGTCCTCTTGCTCTAGCCTCTGGGTCTTGTCTGAGAGCTTCCCCTTTAGCAACTTGATGGTTTGGATCTTCTCCAGTATATACTTTTCTTGGTGCATGGTGACTCGATCCTGCTCCACTTCGACGTGTCGACCGGCAAAGTCGGCTTCGTTCTCTTCCCACTTGCCAAAGGTGAATCTTTGCTCAAGTGCTTCTCGGAGCTCAGGAATGTAGCTTTCTGTAAGGCCGAAGTTGAGGTCGTCTACTTCTATGATAACCTGTCCTATGATTCTGTTGTGCTTGTCTCTCTTCACTAGCCAACAAGGTTCTAGGAGAGTGCGCTCGAACCCAAGGCTGAAGAAGAAGTCAAGGAGAGTTTGATGCCACTGAAGAGGGGCGTCGTCCAGCCCGTAGACCGGAACGATGATCTCCAAGATTTCTGAAGGATCCAATCCAGTGCCTTCGCATGGAGTAGCATAGATCCTTCCCCTTGGTCTTTTCAAGGGGTTTGACTGGCAGAAGGCATTCTTGACGTCCAGGAAGGAGGCCTTGAGAGATTCGTTGAGGCAAATCTGGAAGAACAAGGTGATTGCTTCTGTGCACGGAGTGGGGCTGAAAACTTCAAAGGTTCCCGTGTCTGGATCTTGGTGTCCGTGCAGGCACCATCTGCTCTTGTACTTGAAGCATCCCACGCCTGGAGTGGGTTTCTTTCTGCGAATCATACGGCTAGAGATGATCCTGTGGGGAAACTTTTCTTTGACCTCCTTTGCCTCCTCTTTGGAAAGTATCCTCACGGCATTCATGCCGATGATGGACTCCCACTCTGCTTTGTCAGACTCGGCGAAGCCTTTTCTCTCTTCCTTTGAAGCGTTCTTCATGCAAAACTCAGAGTTCTTGGCCTTCTTAGGTTTCGCAAAGAAGTTGTGTCGATCTCCTTCTTGAGCGATGTGGAAGCATGGGATTTGGTCAAGGCAGGAGGTGGCCCAGAGGTCTTGGTCGTCTGGGACAGGAGGTGGCACTGTGTCGTGTGTCTGTGTCCCTTCTGGAAGGGCGTTCGAAGATGCTGCTATCTCAGCTAGGGGATTCTCCCTTCTTCTGGCTCTTTCTTCTCTGTTCATCTGTCTGAGGTACTTTAATGCCTCTCTCTCGAGCCTTTCTTGCTCTATCTCTGCTATTCTCTTTCGAACGGCTCCTTCTGCTTCTCTGGCTGGAAGGTCGGATGGTTCGCCTTGCTTCAATCTTTTCTCTGGGTTTCCTTGGTCGCTGGAGGAGCTTCTCACTGATGGGGTGAGAGGCATGGGCTCAACGTGAGGCTCCTCCACCGTCTGCGCTGAAGGTCTTCGTCTCTCTAGAGGTGAGGTAGGGGTTGCTGGTGCTCTCGCAGCTCGAGCGAGGATTCCGACTCCATGGTGCCGTTCGGTGTCTTGAGAGGGAATCTCTGATGATCTAGGATCAGGTTCTTCTCCTTCTGGGATTGTGGGGAGAATCTGTTGCTGTTGATCCAACCTGATGGGAGCTGGTTGTGCTGGGACACTTGCCTCATCGATGGCTTCTGGTGGAGGTGGTCCTTCCGAGGCCACGTCTATGGCCGTTGCTCTTTGACCCTTCGTGTCTTTCAGGATTTGCTCCAGACCTTTTTCCGTCATGAGCTCTGCTCCAAGGGTCTCGGCTTCGTTTGCTGGGCGCAGTTGATCTGATGAGCACTTCCAGATCCTCGAGCGCATGGCGACCCACACGGTGTGATGTAGTTGCTGCACTACCAATCCAGGTCCTACCCACCTTGCTCTGGTGGCATGTCCTCCTCCAGTTCCAGTCATCTTTCGCCAGCAGTAGACCCACTGGCCTGGAGACCACGTGCGTTCTCTGTGGGCGTACTTCCTCATCCCCAGCTGTGCCTTGTCTCGGAGAGTTGATCTCACGCAAAGCTGTCTAGCCTTCTCCCTGATGGCATTGGTCCTGCTGAACTCTGCTGCAGCTGTGTCTTGGTTGAGAGGATCTCCTTGTAGATCTTGGAGAGCGGGAAGCAGTGTCTGGTCATCGCTGAGAAGATCTGCTGGAAGGCGGGGGCTGATCCCGAAGACCAGCTGGAAAGGGGAGAAACCTCCTCGGTGGAAGTACTTGTTCTTGAATCCCACCAACATGTTCATGAGGTCCTCTAACTCTGCCGAAGTTTCGACGGTTGCCTGTCCAGATTGTAGGTCTTCCTCAACTCGCTGCTTGGCCCAGCTTCCATGTCGTTCGCAGCGACCATTTTGCCAGGGTGCTGCAGCATCGCAGACCACTTGCAAGACTCCATGTTGTTCCAGCTTTCTTTCGAAGTGTTGCTTGAACTCTGATCCCTGGTCTGACAGGATCAGTCGTGGGAGACCAAATGGCCTTACCCACATTGACTGGAACAATAGCCATGTGTCTTTGGAGTTGGGTGATCCACCTTCGTAGTTCTTCAGCCAACCCACCTGCTGGAAGTTGGTTCCGTGGCACACCACGTTGAGGAAGGCGTGCGTCTTTCCCTGGAAGGAAATGAAAAAGTAATCAATTCCCAAAATGTCGTTGAACGAGAACGTCTTTGGAAAAGCGACCTGCTTGTGCTGGATGGGGCGTTTCTGATGCATGCACTGGTCACACTGGAACTTTTCCTGCACAAACTTCATGATGTTGTCTTTTGCGCCAGCGGCTTTCAACATCATCAACATTTGTGGCTTGGGCGCATGCCCAGTGTTGGCATGAAGTCGGTACAGGAGCTCTTTCTGATGTCTGGTGATGTCTTCCGATGTTCTCTTCATGACTGGTCCAGGAGTCTGAGGAGCGGGAAGATGAGATGTTTGCGGCTCCAGGGCTTGATCTTCTACTTCTTCATCGCTGTCTTCCTCCCAAGCTGCCAAGCATTGATGATCAAATGATGGGGAACTCGTCATTCCCCGTAGTATGGCTTCTACTAGCCCCTGTGGATACTGTTGAGCCTTCTTTGGGAGACCCGACTGCAACTGAACATGTTGATGATCCCGTTTACACTGGAACTTGGAGACCTCTGCCGTGATTCCAGCGTGGTTAGTGATCAAGCCCGTGGACTTCCTGGACAGTTTTCCTTGAGAAACGGATAAACCTGCCTCGCATTGATCAAACAATGCAAGAAACACGTTCTCTTGGTTTCGCAGCCACTCCATCGCGTTGAGCTCCCAACTGGTAGCTTCTGATGGCTGCTCGATGTAGAAGTACCTGCCACGTTCCAGCTGGTACTTGGCCACCTGGATGCAAAACAACATCATGCTGATGCCCTCGGTCTTGATCCTCTTGGCTTCGTCTTCTGACATTCTGTTCCAGTTGGAGTTCATGATGATGGAAAAAGGCTTGCATTCTGGAGACATTCCTACAACGTCTGGAGCCTGCTTCTCCAACATTTCCCAAAAATCTTTTCGACACTGGTAGCTGTTGAATTCCCAGCCCGTTGTCTTGTCAAAGCTTGGTGGTTCTGTTGTAGAGAATGTCTCTGACCACCGCTCCTGAGTCTCGGCAGTGACTCTGGGAGGTGAAAAGAGTTCACAAATCTTGAGCTTCCGATGGCTTCCCATGGCCGCGAGCTTGGAACGAGGCGCGGTGGTTTGACTAAGCCCGAGAGGGCTAAAGTGTCCCCCCAGGAAACTAGTGACCTGTCCTACTTCTTCCTCTGAAACAGTGCTGTTACCAAATCTTATGTTTCCTACTTGAAGTCCTTGCGTCTTCTCCGCCTTTTCTTGAGGTCCTGACGTCCTCCCCGTGTTATTCTTTGTTTCTTGAGGTGCTGACGTCCTCTCCGTGTTATTGTTCTTTGCTTCTTGAGGTTTTGACGTCCTCCCCGTATTGTTCTTTGTTTCTTGAGGTCCTTGCGTCCTCTCCGCAGATTCAATGGCGTGCAAGCTTGACAAAATGCCAAACGAATTCATTGCCTCAGCTCCTGCTGTAATGGCCCTCTTTTGGGGTTTTGTGAGAAAAAACTCATGGTCATCCTGCAAATCGGAAAAACACAATTCATCAACCAAAAAGGAACTCTTCCAAACAAGCTTAGACCCGTTTCCGTCCCTTGGATGCCAAAGAAGTGTGAAACTGCTGAAATGTGAAAGAACTGTACAAAAATCCGGAGAAAAAGGACTGACAAACCAGCTTCCCCAGTCAATCCCATGGCTTTGGCTGCTCAACTTCTCCGCGGTGGAGCTCAGGGAAAACGTGCTGGTAGAGCTCAAGGGAGTTGCCACTCTCCCATGTTGGGATTCTCCATGTTGGTGTCGTCTTCCTGCTGCATCGCTTGTTGATTTGGATCCATCGGCATCTGGTCCTGGTACAAGACTTGGTGCTGCATGTAGCCCATCTGGTTCTGGAGCTGCTGCTGGGCCAGGATCATGGGGCCCAGGGTCTGCGCCAGGTTCTGGGTGATCTCCTGTGCGTGGATCGAGAGAGTCTCCTGCAGTTCTGCTCGAGACAACGGAGTCTCCGATGAGGCCGATGCCGCCTGGGATGCCCTTGCCCTCATCATGGAAGCATCCGTTGGGGTTGATGCAGCAGAGGGCCTTCCCTTCTTCGATGTTGGTTTCGGATTGGTTGGCCCGTATCTCGTAAAGTTGAGCTGCAGTCCGCATTGAAGGCATTTGACCCATGTCCCATATTGATTCGCCCCCCTCGCATGATGCTGTTCTGGGTGTTGACAAGTGCTCCCAGTCGTTTGGAGCGGGGGCAGGAGAGATCCCAGTGTGCCCTTGGTCAGCAAGAGAAGCTTCCTGACCATGCAGTACCAAAGAGACTGGTAGCGCTCCCGGTGCTGCTCGCTGCGAATTGGTCTGCCCTGGGCTCTCTGGCGGGCTGGCTCGCGCTGCATGGCTCAGAGAAATCAGGGTCAGGTAAGAAATCAAAGTCTTGAGCATTGGAAATCTGCGCAGAGAGCGCGCAGTGTGGTGTGTTCCTGAAAATTCTGGCTGCTTATTGATTTCTGAACCTGTGGACCTGTTCGCCTCATGCAAACGTGAATCATGTTCTGAGATTTCTGAACCTGTGTACCTCATGGCCTCATGCAAACGTGAGTCATGGCTCTTTGGGATCTCTGAACCTGTGTACCTTTTCGCCTCATGAGCACTGGAGTCACTGACATGCTCTTGCTTCAGATGACTGATGTGGCACTCAGCAAGCAAGCTTTCACTCAAAAAATGCTGTGATGACAACCTACCAATGCTTTTTGGGGCTCGCTTGTTTGTCGCTTTCAAATTCTTGCGAAAGATGGTTTCCAATGGCTGAGAGCTGTTGGTCCTCTACCCAAAAATAGATCTCCCAGGGGTATTCCTTGGAACTGATTTGGGGTCCGAGTGAACCAATTTCTTCCCAAAGAGTAACCCTGAAATGAGGTGATGAAAACAATGTCTCCCCAGCGGACTGGCTGCTCATGTATGCTGCGTCGCATGACGACTCTGACAGCTGGAAGTCTTCTGGCTCCAGCCCGAATTTCTCCAAAACTTCTTTTGGAGGTTGAAAAGCCGTGGCACCTTTGACCACGTCCAAGATTCGGTGTCCTGACTCAAGCCTCTCCATCTTTGCCGAGGCGTTGATGTTCTTGAACTGGATCTCATTGGCACCGGTGTCGATGATAGCTCCCGTGTGTTCCAAAAGGCCTATTGATAGTAGGTGAGGCACATCATCCTCCAGGATCGTGAGCTTCACAACTCCGGGAACCTGGCCCAAGAACACCGGTGTGAGGGCACAGTACAACGCCTTGGCGTTTCCCCCGATGCCAGCTGCTTGAGGTGGGGGCTCCTTCAAAATCACTGGTCGAAGATGGACTTCGGCCAACCTCTTCTTCAAGGCCAAGAACGCAGTCTCCCCAATCAGGTCCTGAGCGGCTCCTGGATCAATGATGGCATGCCCAGCGGGAATCGTCATGTAGCTCATCTCGGAAGCTCCAGCGCCGTTGAAGAAGTTCATGGCCAAATGTGATGGTCCTAGAGCTCCGGAGCCAAGGTATGCAAAAGCGGTGAAGTTTTTTGACTTGTCGGACTTCGGCTTGTAGGGCTGTTGGCACTCTGCTCGCCAATGCCCTTTTTCTCCGCAATTTGCACAACGAGTGATGCGCTTGAGCTCTGCTATGTTCTTCTTCCGGCGGTTGGGAGCAGCTGGATCTCTTTGAGCTCGGGATCCAACGTCCTCGAAGTGTCGCCGGTCTTTTCGTAGAGCATTCTTGAGCTCCTTGTTCTCTCCCCAGGTCTTCTTCTTCTTCTGCCAGTCAGCTAGGAAGGAGAGAGCATCCTCCTCTTCCAAATCCATGTGGCTGATGACATAGAAGACCTCGTCAACGGCCTCGGAGTCGAGAATGTCCTCCTCGACAGGAGCTTCGTAGGGCTGAGCGTCGAAGGTCTCGGCAGGAACCTCCTGGTGCTCGAGGAAATAGTTAGAACCCTTTGGACGGCACAGGGACTCCTCTTCGGTGTCGATGGCTCGAAGGGCCTTCTTCACTACGTCAAACCCAGAGCTTCCGCCAGTGAGGGCTCTCAAATTCTGCAAGCCTTGCTTTGACAGCCCTGACTGTTCCTCGAGCATGAATCCTTTCATGTCGTTCGGGAGCTGCACAAAGCGGTCAGCCTGGGTGAATTCTGACTCCCTTCGCAGAGAGTACTGAGCTAGCGACTCTTCTGGCTTCCTGGCGCCCTCGTAGAGAGCTCGACGGATGATCCGTCTTTTCTCCGATGACTCCTTCTCGCCCGCTAAGACGTCCAAGATGCCGAAGAAGATGTCAAGGTATGCTTCGCCTTGGAATTCTGCTTCTCCCACATGCTCGAACCTTGCCTGGAGGTCCCAATCCAGCGAACGAAGCAGCTTCTCGTGTCGCTTCCACATGGGAACGTCAGTTCCGGAGTTCCAGCGGTGAACTGACTTCTTCCAAAGCCTGTAGTGAGTCCACCCCGGCCATGCTGGTGGGTCGGAGTAGTCCGGCTTTGAGTGCCTACCCTTCCACCAGTCTACTCCTTCTTGGTTGTCCCAACGGTTCCAAGGGCTGTAACCTTGCCATGGGTCATTCGCAAGGGCTGGTGCTGCTGAGTCTCCCACTGACTCCTGCAACGTCCCGCCCCTCATAGTTCCACGAGTGGATCCCCACCATCGGTGGTCCCACCAACGGTTCCACTCACTCCATTCCTCGTCCGTCCACTGCCGAGTTTCGCCTGGATCACTCGCAGCTGGTTGGTCATGTGCTACTCCGTCCTGGCTACTGCCCTCGGCCGTTCCGTAGATCTCGTCAAGGGGCATGCTGTCGCTAGTGGCCATCCAGGGCTCCGCGGTACCACTGTTAGCGGAGGTGATGCAGGCAAAGCAACTTTTCCATTCGCAAGCTGGGAACGGTGAAAGGGCAGTGACAGGAGTATGAGGCTAAAATGTTGCCGCATTCATGTCAATGGTGTATGATGTTTCAACTGCACTTGATCATCCAACTGCATAGCTCGATCATGGGTGGTTCGATTCAACATATTTGTGCTTGTCAATATTTTCATGTGTATCACGTCACACATTAAAATTATGGATCAGTTATTTTTTGAACCGTGTTTATTTTCTGGTTTAATGCTGGCCAATAGTTCTCACAGCCATCTGCTGGACGTGGCCCTGAAATGCTTTCAAACTTCCACGCCTTCTGTTGATTCCACCCGACCCCTTTCCTATATAGAAATAGAAACTGGTAATCTTCTGGGTGCAACCCTTTACTGAACAGACCGCGCTACAAGACCAGTTCCCAGGCGACCCCGGCTGACGCATTAGCTGGTAAATGGTAAATAGTACGGATGCACAACCTACATTAACCCTTGACTCCGATCTGCACAAAAAAATGACGTAATAACAAACCCAATGTGCACACATGTTCAAGAGTTCTTGATACGGGGGTAGTTGCTGACCATCTACTAACTTCCAGGACCATCCAAGGAGGGACAAGGACTTCGTTCATCGCTTCTCATGGAGCGCTAACGTTGCTGATTCAATAATTCTGTCAGGTTCGCATGTTGATAGCATTACTCACCTGTGGCATATGGACTTTCTTTTCTGACCCAACCCTGCTTCAAAAGCCATGGGATCCATAAAATATTGACGATGATATTGCCATTGACAGCATCTTGCATGCACAAAACAACAGCTCTTTCTCAGCAAGTACGGAGTTTTCAGCGTCCTAAAGCTCCAGCACTGGCCCATGATTCACATTGCCAAAGCCCTGGAATGTATACTGCACAATCTTGATACGTCTTTTCGATTTGAACCTCAGGAAAACCACCTGCAACACAAAAGCAAAACAATTCTGGATTCCTCTGCTCGTCTCAAGCCACTTCAACTGGGCGTGCCCAGCCGAACCACTGAAGGGCACAGATGCAATGGCAAAACGTGGCAAAACGCGCGCTGCTAAGCAGTGCAAGTCTGCACAGTTGGAACTCTGGATGCAAAAATGTGGAGGGTTGAAATGGGAAATCCCCAACAAACCTATCAGATATCCCCAATAAGAGTGTAAGAGTGAAAGGACCACCAGGGTTCATTCAATTCATTTGGTTTTGCAAAAATGCTACGTAGATGCATGCAGCTATAGGCAGCATCACGCTAGACTTGGGACACCTGACTTTGCGTGATGAGTGGATGTGCAGTCCCTAACCAACTTGCACCCAACAGACAGCATGCACAAATTCTGGCGATGGTCAAATTTGTGTCAAACCTGATTGATTGCCAATGCTTTCCTCGGCGCATTCAGAAACCCATATGGCATGTGTTGTGCTGCTGGAGGGTGCAAGTTTTTTGTCAGGCTGAAAATGCTGCGGAGAAGAAGTCAGTACTGAAGGGTGCTCCTCACTTTTGCAGCTGTTGTGCACGTCAAAGACAAAAACTTAAACCTGAAATCACAATCGACTCCGAAAAAATTGCGTTCCATTTAGCAGATGGGGATTGAGAACAGCATCCAGCCCGCCAGCGAATGTTTTTTCGCTGATCCGCTTGAAGACCTCAACCCCCAAGGTGAGACGCAGTCAACGAAATGGCCGCTGTCAACCTGCGAACGAAAGTGGCCATGGGCCATGGGCCAAGATTTGCTGCTATCGCTCTCAAACAACATTTTCACAGACGATTGAAAGGGTTTGGCTCGTGTATCCCTTATGAAAATGTACTTGCAATCTTATACCAAACCCGAAAAAGTCTCAAAGCTGCACACAATCGTGACCCTTTCTATATCACAAGTACCACGTGAATTGCTTTGGCAAAAACGATAAGGGAATGGCTGAGATGATCCTTCGCCTTCACGGTGCTCTGGTTGGCCCCTCTGGTTCCCAAGGCTCCCAAGGCTCGGGAGCTCCAAAGTGGTGCAAACAAACGTGTTTAGCAATGGGATTTGTTCAAGATGTTTCAAGTCATTGGCATGTCCTTAGCCAAAAAAAATGGATAGTCCGTACATCATTGGCACGGCATGTCCCAAACAATGAATCATTTGATCAACAAAAAATTGGATTTAAACCTTGCAACATTGGCATTTGCTCTCGCAAAACAAGTGCCCTAAGTGACCAAGATTAAAATTCAAGCAGCACAATTTGAGCATTTCTCCAAACGTTCAATCAACAAAAAAATCAACACACAATCGCGTAATGTTTTTCCAAATTGCAATGCGTCTCAAACTGTTTGTGGCCAGACCAGGATTGCACTGACACTTGCAAATAAAAAGAAAACATGGGACAGGGGAAACCCACGTCCAATTGGGTTGTCCAGAAATAGATTAAGTCTTGCAATTTATGGAAGTCTTGATTGAGAAAAGTGATTTGTTTAACCCAGTTTTGGGGCATACCCCTGGTTTTTATTGGTTCAAACTACAGGCGTTGCCGTTTTAAAGCACCGGCTTTGTTTGTGTGGGTTCATCCCCATTTTTTGCAGAATGGACGGCCAGCACGGGCCTCACAAATGGAGAAAAGTGGCCTTCTCCATGGCGGACAATCCTCAGAGCGCGACTTCCACTGGACTCATGTGCGTGTCTAGTGGAATATCCATGCATATATGTATATATGTATATACATATATATATATACATAAATATACATATATGTATATACATATATATATATATACATACATATAAATATATATACATATATATATATATACATATAAATATATATACATATATATATATACATATAAATATATATACATATAAATATATATATATACATATACATATATATATATATACACATATATATATACATATATATATATACATATGTATCAGCGTGTTCGGGATTGGGGTCCGTAACCGTAAATACGCCGATACGCCGATACGCTGATTGTGGTGTGTGAGAGAGTTGTGTGTGACAATAATGTTGTGTGTGAAAGAGTTGTGCGTGACAATGTTGTGTGTGAGAGAGTTGTGTGTGTGTGTGACAATGTTGTGTGTGAGAGAGTTGTCCAAGTCCAAGGGAAGGCTCTTCAGTTCAGAAGCCAAAGGTTGGAGGGCGGCAGAGAAAAGCAATGGCCCAAGCGGGTCACCTTGTTGAACTTGGGCTGTGGCGTGAAGAGTGTGGCCCGGGCAGGCTGCACCACCGTGCCGAAAGAGGATCATGGGTCACTGCAGCCAGAGGTGTTGGACGTGCAAGTCAGAAGGGTGAGGAGACACCTGCACAGCAAATCTGGCACCTGGCAGGGGCCAACCGGCCGTCCCTTCCACTGGATCATGTCTTGAGTCTTGAGCCACCATCAATTTCTCCATTGGAAATGCAAGTCTATGGGAACGCCCGAGTTCAGGCACATTCAACTCATACAAATTGTGGGTTTTGTTTGTGAAATATGTCTCTGGAACCCGTAAACATGTATGAAATGCCACGACTATGAGGAAATGGTTTCAAAATTGCGCTCTCCGGCCGGCTCCACTCTTCAACGCTGCCAGGCTAGAAAAAAGAGCCTTGCCATCCCCAAGGCGTACGCCCTAGGGAGGCTCGTGCTCGCGCTATTTGTTGCCTGGTCAGGAGCATTGTCATCCCCAAGGCGTACGCCCTAGGGAGAGATCATGCTCTTGCTGAATTTTTGCCTGGCCAGGCAGGCATTCAAGGGAGGAGTCAAAAGCATTGCCATCCCCAAGGCGTACGCCCTAGGGACAGTGCCTGCTCACGATTTCTTGCCTGGTCAGGAGCATTGTCATCCCCAAGGCGTACGCCCTAGGGAGAGATCATGCTCTTGCTGAATTCAAGGGAGGAGTCAAAAGCATTGCCATCCCCAAGGCGTACGCCCTAGGGACAGTGCCTGCTCACGATTTCTTGCCTGGTCAGGAGCATTGTCATCCCCAAGGCGTACGCCCTAGGGAGAGATCATGCTCTTGCTGAATTTTTGCCTGGCCAGGCATTCAAGGGAGGAGTCAAAAGCATTGCCATCCCCAAGGCGTACGCCCTAGGGACAATGCCTGCTCACGATATGTCTCTGTGCATGAAGAAACAAGTTCAAAATTCCGTGCCATGAATCACGACTCCTCCCTCAAACGCCTGGGCCTGGCCAGCGGCAGTTCCGCTTTTTCTTCCCAGCCTGTGGTCAGCTTCTTCTTCGCGCCCTCCTGGCCATAATGGTTCGCCCTCAAAGCCTCCATAACACCAATGGCCAGGCCGATCGTATAGGCGCGAGAAGAAGTGGTTTGAAAGTACTCGGCCGGGTTCTGGCACGTCCAGTCCTTTTCTCGGCTGGTGCCACTGTCAACCAGCCTCATCGTGGACTTGTCCAACCGATCGTCTTGGACATCCAGCTCAAAGGCCCGGCCGTGTTTCCTTTTATCCTTCGGCACGTGCGTCCACATTGCCTCCGGGAGCGCTTCTGGAGTGCTTCCCGGGATGGCGCAGAGGACGACGGCCTTCACCACAAAATTGTGTTCTGGCTTGCGGTAGTCGCCGAAGAAGTGGGTTGTCGCGTACTTGGTGGCAACGGCGTGTGACCGCGAGGCGTACGCCCCACGGCCACACGCCGTGCCAAAGCCCTTGCGGGAATTCACTTCGCTCGCCAACACTTCTCCGATTGAAAGGGCCGAGCTCACCCCATACAGAGAGGATCCGTGCCATTCAAGAACCCAACCAGAAGACCACCGAGGCACAGATTTGTGGAGTTTGAGTTTCTCTGCCAGACCCTCAGACACAGGAGGCGGGACTTGCAGCGGGAAGAAGCGCCACTCTTCTTCTCCTGGCCGGCAGGATGGGAGATCACCCCCAGGAAATTCAAGGCCAGGGTTGAGCTGCTTGGCCAACCGAAGGTTCACAGGCCACGCTGATGGATGTGTCATCGCTGCAAGCTCACAAGAGTTCTCGACCGAGAATTTGAAATCTCGGTTCAAGAGCCATTGTTCCACTTGACGCCAGGCGACTGCCATTGGAGCTGCCTGCTTGTAGCTATAATGCGTGTCCTGGATCCATGCCCCGACCCCATCCGATTTGGTCACCTGTTCACTTCTGACAATGTTGACCAATCCCCCCGCCATCTTCCGACATTCCCTCGGCTGCAGTGTTGGACGCCGCAAATAGGCTGGCGGCACCGCCCACACCTCCTTCTCCGGATCCACCTCCTCCGCAGTCTCCGCAGAGACCCCCATGGCTGAAGAGGATGCCGCCATGGGTAAGTGTGTATGAATAGATGTGTATGAGTATGTGTAGATATGTATGTGTCTATGTGCGCTTGAATGCGTATGTGTTATTGTATGTGTTATTGTATGTGTTATTGTATGTGTTATTGTATGTGTATGTGTGATTGCATGTGTGCATGTGTTTGCGCATGCGCTTTTGTATGTGCATGTGCATATACGTCTGTACGTTTCAAATTTCATAGACGTTCTCAGGAGAAAGAAAGCCCTCAAATTCAGCCGCAACGACGATATCTGTGACCTGCTGCCCCGGATGAACAGCAAACTAGCTTGTAAATGGGGGTTAAATCCCCTCCAAATATCGCAACGCCGTGCCAAGGCGCATGTTCCAGAATGCAATATCAAGAGGGTTCAAATATGTTGGTACAAATCCCATTCGACTGGTTGTTATATGAGTAAAAACATGCTCTAAATTTTTCAAACACCCAGTTTACAGATGGCTATTTGGGGGAATAACCATCCATTAACCAGCCAATATTAGGTACCATCCAGGTCCCGTTTGGTTTTGACTCATAGCCATTTACAAAGTATAATGAATTCCAATTCCATTTTAATCCGTGACCGAAGGAAGTTTAGAAGTCAAACTTCCGACAATATGGAGAGATGGAAAAGCCAAGATGTGAAGAGCTCCGACGGGGAGAAAGTCAGAGAGAAGATCAGAGATGAGAAGGTCAGAAGAGAGAAGATCAGAGATGAGAAAGACAGAAGAGAGAAGATGCAGATGCGCAAACAAGTAGAAATGTCGCAAACACAATGTTTTTCCAATGTTTTGTGGCTCCGGAGGGTCGAAAAGTAGGCTCGCTAAATGGCGGGTGCGGAGACATCTGGGCAGATGAGAGATCAACAATTGCACGCAGATGTGGTGCGAAGCACATTTTGAAGTCAAAATGCTAAAACACCACATGTTCGGAACACTTTTGGAAGTTGAGATGTGGAAACAGTGCACGCCATTGTGGCGCGAAGCAAATTTGGAAGGGCAAAGTGTCAAAACACACCATCCTCGGAGCACTTTCGGAAGTTGAGATGTTGAAAAAGTACACGCCGTTGTTGCGCGAAGCACATTTCGAAGTGAAATGGTACAAAGCACCTCATTGTCGGCGCACGTTTGGAAGTTGAGATGTCGAAAAAGTGCACGCCGCTGTGGCGCGAAGCACATCTGGAAATCAAAAATGCTAAAAATTGAGGGTCTCGGGTCACTTTTTGAAGTTTGGACGTGACCAGACAACAACTGCAACTACAAGTACAAGGACAAGTACACTTACAACCACAACCACAATAACAACTACAACTACAACCACATTACCACTACCACTACCACTACAGCTACAACTAAAATACCACTACCACTACAACTACAACTACCACTACAACTACAACTGCCACTACAACATACAACAGCCACAACTACAACTACAACTACCACTACCGCTACAACACCAAACTCCAACTACAACTACAACACTACAACTTCAACTACAACTGCAACTACCACCACAACCACATCTACAACTACATTACAACTACCACTACCACTACAACTACGACAACTACACTACCACCACGAATACAACTACCACTACCACTACAAACACAACTACCACTACCACTACAAACACAACTACCACTACACTACCACCACAACTACAATTACCACTACCACTACAGTTTCAACTACCGCTACAACTACAAATGCCACTACCACCACAACTACCACTCCTGCTCCCACTCCCACTCTCACTACAATAACTACAACAACTACTACTACAACTACAACTACAACTGCAACTACAACTGCAACTACAACTGCAACTGCAACTCCATCACAACTACACTGCGCTGCCTCCAACCACTTGTCGGTCCATCAGTGGGTTCGCTCCGCCATCCATCATTCGCAGCAACCAACCTCTCCTAT